GCAGTATTCATGGACCTGATATATCGGGTCTACAGACCGATGCTTGATCGCTTAGTGATCATGTTCATAGATGATATCTTGGTCTATTCCAAGACCCGAGAGCAACATGAGGAACACCTCAGGGAGCTGTTGGAAGTTCTGAGACGAGAACGGTTGTATGCCAAGGTCTCGAAGTGTGAGTTTTGGTTACCATAGGTCTAGTTCCTCGGACATCTCGTTAACCAGGAGGGGATTTTGATAGACCCGGCCAAGATCGATGCAGTTATGCAGTGGGAGGTGTCGAGGTCTCCTTCGGATATCATGAGTTTTCTGGGGTTAGCAGGGTATAATCAGAGATTTATTTGAGACTTCTCCAAGATTGTAGTACCCCTCACTCGTCTAACGAGAAAGCAGTGGATTTCCGGTGGGGCCCCGAGCAACAAGGGGAATTTGAGACCCTCCGACGGTGTTTGTGTGAGGCTCCAGTTTTGATACTCCCCGAGGGAGTAGAGGATTTTGTGGTATTTTGCGATGCATCCATCACATGTTTAAGGGTAGTCCTTATGCAAAAAGGATGAGTGATAGCTTATGCATCACGGCAGCTGAAGCTGCATGAGACGAGGTACCCTACACATGATCTGGAGCTGGGAGCGGTGGTATTCGCTCTCAATATTTGGAGGAATTACCTATATAGGGTCCGTTGTACCATATACATGGATCACAAGAGTTTGAGACATATCATGGATCAGCCAAACCTGAATATGAGATAGTGCAGGTGGCTAGATGTAGTTAAGGACTACGATTACGAGATCCTTTATCACCCAGGTAAAGCGAATGTAGTTGCAGACGCATTGAACCGCAAGTCAGCTAGGTCTTCCACCCTAGAAAAGTGTATGAGGATAACGGTGGATTCCCCGCTGGTGGGTTTGATCAGAGATGCCCAGATCGAGGGAATACGACCATATAACTGTAAGATGGAAAGGAACAAGGGCAAAAGCGCTCGGTTTGTTCAGAATAGCCACGGATTATTGACCCGTGTGGTTGAGTGTGGGTTCTGATAACTGGTGGAGTTAGGCAGACAGTGATGAGGGAGGTTCATAAGTCTCATTTTTTTCATACATCCGGGGGCCACCAAGATGTACCGTGACTTGAGTTTGAGTTACTGGTGGCCATGTATGAAGCGAGAAATTTATTGGTATGTCGAGAGTTAGTTGACCTGTAAGATGGTCAAGGCCGAGCATCAGAGACCGCATGGAAAGTTGCAGCCTCTGGATATCCCCATGTGGAAATGGGAACAGATCACGATGGATTTCATCACAAAGCTTCCAAGGACAAGCAAGGGGTACGACGTTATATGGGTCATCGTGGATCGATTGACCAAGAGTGCTCATTTCTTGGCGATACGGGAGAGCTCTTCGACCGAGAGGTTTGCCAACATATATGTCCGCGAGATCATTGCTCGCCATAAGATTCCGGTCTCTATTGTCTCAAACCAAGATGTTAGATTTACCTCCCGCTTCTGGCAGAAGTTCCACGAGGAACTGGGCACACACTTGCACTTTAGCACAGTGTTTCATCCGCAGACAGACAGTCAAAGCGAGCGGACCATTCAGGCCCTTGAGGATATGTTGAGGGCGTGTGTCTTTGACTTCAGTAGGAGTTGGGATTCCTGCCTACCTCTTGCAGATTTTTCTTACAACAACAGCTACCACTCCAGCATTGGCGCCCTGCCTTTCGAGTTATTGTATGGGCGCAAATGTTGCACCCCGGTTTGTTGGGCTGACGTTGGACACCGAGTGATTGGACAGACAGAGGTAGTCCTATAGACTACTGAGAAAATTCAGCAGATTAGGCAACGATTGCAGACCGCTCAGAGTTGGCAGAAAAGTTATGCCGATAGACGCCGATCTAAGTTAGAGTTTCAGGTGAGTGATATGGTGCTCCTGAAGGTCTCGCCCTGGAAGGGTGTGATTCGCTTCAGGGCGCGGGATACATTGGGTCGTTTAGGGTCATTGCCAGGGTTGGCAAGGTGACGTACAGGCTAGAGCTCCCAGAGGAGCTTAGTCGGATCCACAACACTTTCCACATTTCGCAGTTGCGGGAGTGCATTGTGGATCAGGAGGCAGTGGTGCCATTGGATGATATTCAGGTAGATAAGCGCCTAAAGTACGTGGAAAGTCCGCTTTGACGTTGTGGTTTGCCTCGTGTCGCTCACGTTTCATGTATAGTCTGTTAATCATAAACACTCCGTGTCGGCGATGATATTTTTCTGATGCTGGCTTTTTGTTAACCATAAAGGTGGTCAGCGGGGATCCTATACTCTATGTAAATTCCATAACGATATTGATCGGTCGAACGCTTAGCGCTAGACAACCAATTCTACTGGGTGGCGGCGTTTTCCTGGTGGAATCGGTGCTATCGTTTTGTGGTGCTGCGAGCTTTGTGTTTTTTGTCATAGACACGTATTGTTGTTTATCGAGTTGTGTCGTGTTGGGTGCACGTCCGGATGGCACTAACTGTTGTGACAGGTCTCCGGCTTAACTTCGTCTCTTTGATGGATGGGATGGAGTGCCTGATAATCACAACAAAGGAAACAAGCTCATCAGTCCTCGTTTGGGAGGTAGTCTCGGAATGAAGCTCCAACGACCAAGTTAGTCGATTTCTTAGAGAGAAGGTGGAGGTTTTATGAAAGGGCTAGAAGATTTTCTTTTCTGGTCCCTTCTCTTGGAGGAGAAGGGACCTTTTTATACCTGTGATCAGGGGAACAAATCCCCAAAAGAATCTTTTACCTCTTCAGAAGTGGCAGGGAAAAAAGGTCCTTAATTGGTAGATCATGCTCTGCGCGTAGTTGCTTACCATTGGTGCAGGGCTGCCAGAAGCGACGTTCTAAGTGACACACCTGTCACTTAAGGAGACGACTAGTACTATTTTGTCTCGACACCAGCTTTGATGCTTGGGCGCCAAGGAATAAGTATGGGATCACGAGAACGAGGGCGAGAGCGGGGGCCCAGCGTTAGGCGTACACCGGTCTTTGCTTAAATCGTCTGACGCTTCCGTTATTTTTTTATGTATTCTTGGTGGGATACGTCAACATTCACATTCTTTGTGGGTTTTCCTTCACGACCAAAACCAGATGAATTTAACTTTTTCTATAATAAGCATATATCAAAAATCAATTCAAAACTGATATTCATATGTGTGTGTTTATATATATATATATATATATATATATATATATATATATATATATATATATATATATATATATATGAGAATGGTTGTGAATTTTATAACCAACCCAATGTGAATTATTTTCATTCTAATGGGATTAAGATTAGATTCTCTTGTCTATGTACTTCTCAACAAAATGAAAAAGTTGAACGCTCAATACAAACAATAAACAACATCATTCACACTTATTTATTTCAATCATCTCTTCCTTCAAATTGTTGACCAAAGTACTTCTTACATTGGTTCACACCCTCAACCTCCTTTCCATAACTACCTTATCATACAAAACACCTTTCAGGTGCTATTTCATGTTGTTTATGATCTATGATCTTCAAAGGTTTGGCTACCTATACTATCCAAACATTTATTCTATGGCATCATACAAGCTTTCCATGTTCATCTTTGTTTGTCCATAGTGGACTCTATAATGGTCATAAATGTTATTGTTGCTTGGATCTTGTTTCTCAACGTATTTTCATCTCCCGTCATGTTATCTTGATGATGATCACTTTCCCTTCGCTAACATTCATGTTGATTCCTATAATTCTAAGTATGATTCACTCATCCCCTGATAATCCTCCTATAAACCTCCCTTACCCCATGACCAACATGAACGATAACACCTATCCTAGCTACTCCTATCCCTTTGGTTGGCACAACCAAAATCTCAGATTCTACTCCCCAGCCTCTTGTTTCTATAACAAACCTCCTTCCATTTCGGTTACCCACGGATATCAGATGACTACTCGTTCATGGTCATGACCGGCTCCCTAATCACGTACTTGTATCATGTTAATAACTATGGATAACATGACCATATGTATTAATCCATCAACATTCATGTTCAATTTCAAGTATTTAGCAAATTATCAAAACTAAGGTTCTGGTCAAACTTCTTTATTCATCAAGTTGTAAAATACATTTGGTAATTTTTATGTTCTAAGCTTGAAAACATGTTCCCCATACTTCATACTTCAAGATTTATTACATACAAAAAGTTTCAACATCTATAGTTTATGAGAAATCTTCCATTAAAGTAAACAAAGTTACAACAAAGGAGAACTCACCCTTAATTCAAGTTGTTGAAGAAAAAATCTTAATTTGACTTCTTTAATTATTTTATGTCTTAAAGTTTGAGTTCAAAACCTCGAGAATTTTTTTCAAATGTTTGAAAGATAAACGAGTGACTTTTAACTCTTTTAATCTCACCATTTTAAATCAACCAAGTTACATGGGCCGTATTGTTCCTGTTTCTAGAATTACACGGATCTTATAATGTTAATGAACAAAAACTAGCCCATTTTCATTTTTATACAACTTGTGCTTTATTATGTAAAGGGTTTACATAGGCCATGTTTCCCAAGGCTACTTTTAAATAGGTTTTGTATTATTAAAAGGCATCGTGCTTTAATTTTAACTTTTAAATAGGTTTTGTATTATTAAAAGGCATCGTGCTTTAATTTTAACTTTTAAATAGGTTTTGTAATATTAAAAGGCTACTTTTAACTTTTCATATTTTACATTGGTCGTTGTTTTCCTTTAGCAAAACTTTTTGCCACTTCATGGCAAACAAATTAGTCATAGTGGCTAGAGTAGTCTTCTCTTCTAATGTCTTAATAAAAAGTACGTAGAATCGCTAATAAATCAACAAATTTCAAATTGTTTAGGTATTTAAGTTAGAATTACTAATTCACCCTTGTCACTTCCATCCTCTTCATATCCCTTCTCACACATGAAACCCTAATCTTCATCCCTAAAATTAAACATAAAATCCATAAGAATTTCAAAGATTTCTAGAGAATAGTTTAATTCTTTAACCTTCAACCACAACAATACTCATGCTCAATCTATTACATCTTTGAGCAATATCCACAACCATCCATTTTTGCAACAAATTAGACATAAATGATGAAACTATAAACAACAAAAGATACAAAAACCGTGTAGTAAGAATACACATTGCTCAATAGTTTCAAGTAATCATAAACCCTTCTTTATCTTCCATGAATTTTGACCATTTTATAGCATGTTGACCATTTTATAGCATGTTGACCATTTAGATGTGAGATGATCGATCACGACTACTTCTTTCAGAATCTTCTTTCTTCCACATCGTCTCCATTTTCTGAAACCACTTCAATGGTCGAACCTATATGGATATTTCTTTTTTTACTTAATATACAAATAATGGAGAAAAATGTATGTGTATTATATATATATATATATATATATATATATATATATATATATATATATATATATATATATATATATATATATATATATATTATATATATATATATATATATATATATACCTTCCAACGCCTCCTACGATTTATAGAATAAAAGATCGATTCCAATCGAGGAATTATGTTCCTAAATGTTGGTCTCTCATTAGGATTCTCATGCCAACATTGTTCAATCAACCTGTGTGAGATAAAATATTTTATAAAAACAACTTATCAAAAAATATAATGACATTTTAATCCTTCATACAACATACTCTTTAAGCCCATGAGCATAACTCTTTGATGGAGCATTAAATGGAGGGCGTTCATTTGTAACATATGCTTTCGGAACATCTTTTTCATCCATCGTGAAAAATGGTTGGCAGCCTTCAATCATCTTTTCATCAGATCAAAGGACAAAGATTTAATTTTTAAATAAATATTAAAGAAGATGAAACATATATTATAAAGATAAAGATATTATAATTATTATACCTCTTGTAAAATTAAGGCAAATGAGAAAACATCCACTTTGGTATCATAGTCTTCGTTTCTAAATACCTCTGGAGCAACATATCTCCCTGTTTTATTACAACAAATCATTCAAAAAAAAATTAAATTAAATATAATAGGAAGAAATGAAAGTAGAAAAATAACACTCACATGTAGTGTCATGATATGTCATGAGCTTTTGTTGTTTGACGTTATCTTTGACTTTGAACAGCTCACTGATTCCAAAGTCTGCAACTTTTAGATGTCCAGAATCAGCCCGCAGAATATTCCTGTTTTCTTACTCGTATAAATAATAAAAATATTTAACAATTATGATAAAGAAACCTACAATTTAAAAAAAAAAAAAAAAAAAAAAAAAAAAAAAAAAAGACTTACGAAGGCTCTAGATCCCTGTGAATAATCGGTTCGGGTTTATTTTCATGCAAATAGTTCATCCCCCTGACATCGCCAAAAGTTATTACGATTAACTAAAAAGACAATTTTAACCAGGAAGTGAAAGTACAAAAATACCCTTCTACCTAAAATAACAACTACCTTGCGATATCCATGGCAAATTTCAAAGCCGTTGATGGCTTTAGTGCTTCTTTTCTCTTCAAAAACAGACGAAGATCACCCTAAAACACATGGAAAAGTTTTTTTTTTTTTTTTTTTTTAAATTTAATAATCAAAGATAAGACAGGACAGGAAATGACGTAAATGCCCTTCAGAAACCTTTGGTAAATATTCGGTTATGATCATCATTGGACTACTTTGAGTTACAGCACCCAAAAACTGAACCACATTTGGATGTCGAATCTTTTGAAGTAATTCAAGCTCATCCCTAAAAGCCCTCCTGTTAATAATAACCCATAAATTAAATTACAAAATAATGTATTACAATTTATTTTAAAAAAAAAAAAATTAATTATGGTAACTAAATGTCTAAACAACCCACACTTTCTCCTTATCAGTAAAAAGTTCATCTCCAAGTTTTTTTACTGCAACTTTTGTTCCACGCCATGAAGCTATGGTGAATGTACCCTAAAAAGTTCCAAACAACATTTATTTAACCACATGAAGAAAATAAAAAGATTTTATTAACTATTATAAATTAAATCAATAAATGACTTACCTTAGTAATGTTGACACTATCTGTAAAATCAAGTTCTTTAGCGTTAATTTCATATTCGGGAACTTCACGAGCATTTTTGACATGCATTGGAGCCATCTAAGTATAATACATATTATTAAGAAAAGAAACAATTAGAAATAAGAAAATGTAACTATAAATAACTAAACGAGTGTCATATAAACAGCAAATTTATAAACAAGAAGATGAAGTTATTATGATTTATTGAGAAGATGAAGTTATAACAAGTGTATGAACTTACGAGAGGTTTGGCACCATGTTTCTCCAAAAGTTTGACCATGTCATGGTTCTTGTAATGGATTGAATCTGCAAGAGGCTGTTTAAGGAATATTATATTTTTCGAAATTGAGTTTAGAATTGGGGATTTCAAATTTCAACTCTGAATGTTGTAAATGGAAGAACAGTGATTACATAACAAAAATTGAAAGCGATTGTAAAATCTTACAGTGCTACCCCATCGATCTTTGACATCAACTTCTGCACCTCCTTCCAACAACAATTCGGCAACATCACAAAACCCTTGGCAAGCTGCCACATGTAACGCAGTTCGATTATCGATATCTTGAAAATTAACATCAGTTCCTGAGTTTAAAAGCTCCTTGATCCCATCCAAATTACCCTCACTTGAAAAAAACATCAACCTAACCCTAGGATCAATCGCATCCATTCCATCTACCTCTTCTTCTTCCGAATCGGAACCCGAAACCCGGTCCGGCGCCATTGACGACTGTCTCCCTAGCGTAAACCTAATTGGTGGTTGCGACTCCATTTTTACTCGAAACAAGTGAAACCCAATGCCTGTTGAGCAATTTCTTGGAACCCAACCGGATAAAAATTAGTGTTTGTACTTTATATACTCCTTTTGCGAACTAAATTCTTGAAAAATTGAAATGATTTTGTACCAATAACAACTCCAATGCACGGAGACAGATCACTTCAATGTTGCATCTTTGAATCTCGCCCTTTTCGTCGTTGATGAAGACGTTGACGATCGTTGATTTGAATAAGGTCGTAGACACGGTTCCGTTGATTTGATGACAGATTGTCAAGATCAAGGCTGCGGAAATATAGAGGAGAAACAAAGCAAGTGGAAAGGTTTCATTTTGGCTCCTTCGGCTTGATTTCTATTGGTAAATACCCTTCTTGTTTTTTTCCCAAAATGCCCCCGAAATGGCTATATAACTGTCCATAACAACTTTGATAAACGGTAAAACACATTGTTTAGTTGAAATGTTACATTATGTAATGTAATAATATACTAAATCATACAACAAAATTAATTAAATTGTGTTATTCATGATTTTGGGTTTTCATTATCATTTGGTCTATTCAAAAGAAAAGGTATATTAGTGGAAATGTTACATTATGTAATACTAATATTCTCTTTTATGTTTGATTTTCACATATACAAACATCAGGTTTGTTCCATGATCTTGGAAATTCATTTCGACTGTCAATTATTAATGTTGTTCTAAAGTTAAAACTTAAAAGTATTCTTTTATATATATTTTTGAATGATTTACTATTGGATGATGGAGTTTTCTCCAATATAAAACAAGTACGTGTCCATTTGAAAAAGTTTGTAAATGTCATTTGTGTTGTCCAATTTGAATATGTGAAAAAGGATTTTACATCTATTTTGTCTCCGATATAGGGAGGAGCTTATACAAATGCTAAAATTGAAGAGGTATGTACAAAAGTATACATAACCATTTTTGCATCCCATCAATATTATGATGGATATAGGGCTGACTGAAATCAGAACCATGATCTTTGTAGGAATCCTATTCAAACCAAAAAGATATTTTTTGGATGAATTCCATAAAGTTTATTGGCTGATAAAGTTGGTATTGGTGAAAGGTTGCGTTGAGACTTGAGAGCAAGTGTATTTGAGGCAATAGAGGAAGAGGATAAGACAACTGAACAAGATGAAGGCATGCCTTAGGATAGTGCAACACAACTACATGCTTCCCCTTCATGTATCTTCTAAACTTCCATCATCATACTTATGTTCTCATGTTTCAATCAGTCTCATGGGTATAATTTGTTTTAGTATCAAGATCCACTTGACACATAATCTACATTAAATTAAACTACTCTATTCCAAAACACATGCAATAGTTTCCTTTACCAGATGTCCCAAAATCAAGCAAACAATTCCCATTTTTGGGAAACTTGTAATTAAACTAATAACGTTTTTGCTTTTTGGTTACAATTCTTGATGTGTATTCTAGATATTTTGTTTGGAATTTAAGTCTTTAGCATGATGTTTGGTTTTAATATAATTTTAGGCCGGCTTCTAACTACACTAATATGTAAATACTTGGATTGGGCACAACTTGGCAACACACTAAAAGTTTATCTATCGTAGTGTAGTTTGGTAATCATTTGCTTTCATACAATCTTTAATTTGAAATGCGTGTTTGATAATACTTTGTAGTGCACATATGCATGTATGTCTATTTGTTATTATGTATGTATGGGTGTATATATGCGCATATATATATATATATATATATATATATATATATATATATATATATATATATATATATATATATATATATATATATATATATATATATATATATATATATATATATATATGCACATACACATTTCCATATATGTATATTCGTATTTGCATAGATGCACATGTATATTTGTATATATGCACATACGTATTTGCATATATATATATATATATATATATATATATATATATATATATATATATATATATATATATATATATATATATATATATATATATATATTTGTGCATATATGCATAAATATATGTGCATATATCGATATTAGCCTAGATGCACATGTATATTTGTATACATGCACTTTTATGAATGTTTTTACAAATTTGGATAGGTGCACATGTACATATATCATATATGTTAAACATGGATACACAACATATGCATGTATATTAAACATATGCATTTTTATTAATGTTCTTAAATATGTAAATATGTGCATTTGTTCATATATTGATGTGCATATATGTATTTTTTTATTGAAGATACAAAAAAAATGATATATTGAAGAAAAAATATAGCAATATGGACACAAAGAAGTGAAGATACCTTGAAATTTTGTTGCATATTTTCGGTTTTTATGTTTTATCTTGTATTGCTAAAACAATTGTACGATTGTATTTATATATTTTGAATTAAAATGATTTTTTATTACTCTTTTATAAATATTACAGATTAAAAAACATGCATATATGAACCTACGAATATATATATATATATATATATATATATATATATATATATATATATATATATATATATATATATATATATATAAAAGAAAAATATGCCTATATGAACCTGTATGATTTTTTTTTAAAAGAAATTACAGTTTTGTTTTTTAATAAAAAAAACAAAAAAAAAATCTTTAATTTAAAAAAAAAATCAAAAATTAAGAACTTTATAAAAGAAAAAAAATCCAAAATTTTGATATATTATGTTAACTTTTAGGACTTGTTATTAATGTTTCGAATAAAAATATTAAATAAGGTTTCTAGAACGATAACTACGTCCTCAATAAAACTTATTTTATCAAACGTTTTATCTTTCGTTCTCGAGGTTTGTACAAATCAGACGTTTCCCCATGGCAGACCTACGCCTAATAGTGTTAGATTAGTGTCTAATTCCATAACTATTTTTGGTATGTACCTAACCCGATTGTGCATGATCCTTTTGGGTTGCCTTCACACTGGTGACTAGATATGATGATTGTTGAGGAGTGAGGCTGGTTTATTGTTAAGAATAATAAATTAGGGTATAAATATGATTTGTTAATATATTATATGAATAATATATTAATTTGGAATCATATTATTAATTAGTATTTAATCAGAAATTAATTTAGAATTAATTTTGGGATTAAAGGAATTGATTGAAAGTACAGGGACTATTTTGTAATTATTCAATACTTGAGGCTTTGGGCCATTGGATCACCTTTATTAAGGCTTGAACGAAAATCCTAGAAGGATTTAGGAGTTTTCGTCCAAGGGTTTAAGGAAAGGAGTCCATGGACTTGCTTAGGCCCTAAGCTAAGGGATTAGGGTTTACACCTTGAAACCCTAGTTAGCCTTAAGTATAAATAGAACCCTAAGGCACTAAGATTTCGTCCAAGCTTTGGGAAACCCTAAAAGGGACGAATTCTAGGGCAAGATACCCTTTTCTCCTCTCTCTCTCTCTCATATTCATCATTTCACCTAGTGTGTTTGTGAGCCATTAGAGGTACTACACTTGTGGTACATGCTATAAAGCTAAGGAGATTCAAGGAACTAGTTGTTATTACTATATAACAACAAAAGGTATGTATTCTATTCTTCTATGTGGATTTCGAAAATAGTACTAGCATGCCAGGTTTCTTTTTGTGTTCATAAAGTTGTATAACTAATAGTGAAAACATAGATCCAACTCTAGGGTTGCATGCACACATAGGATTATTTGTATAAAACCCATCAAATAGAGCAAGCTCGATGGAGCCTCGCGCCCGCGAATGCCTCTAAGTGTAGGGTACCCGCGGAGAAAGACCAGGTCCACTAGGGGCACCTTCTACTCCGCAACAAAACATAATAGCTCCAGGCAAAAAAGGGGATGCTCAGCGCATTACCACCTGAACCAATTATTAGCTCTGACAAAACATGGAGCACGATTTCCCAATCAGCACGCCCGATCCGTGTGACATCCACAAATTTCTCGGCCAGAAAAGACCGATTTAGTTTATGTTTTTAAAATAAAATCAGAGTAATCTTCCAAAAGGTGTTGCATAATTTGTTCCCAAAATAAAATATAATAAAATTTTATTAAATCATTTCTTAAAGAAATGTATTTTCATTATATAATAAAACATCGGGATGTCATGTTCTGATACAGACCAAAAGCATAAATAGTATATTATAAGCCTTACGACAGTTATTTACAACTACTGGTCTATGATCCAAAATTCCCTCGTCATCATCTAATTATGCTTTGAGTCCACTACCTGTAATATAAAAAACTAAGTGTGTCAGGCTTGGGAGCCTGGTGAGCATATAGGGTTTTTAACCTACAAATAATAAATTTATTAATTTCATCAACCACAATAAATTTATTTATTATGTTTAAACATCAAACAATCAACCCAATTTCTCACCCTCATTATCTTCTTTACTCTTAAGGATCCACCCTAAGAAATCAAGTATTCCTCGTTCATTCATTTCCTAAGGATTAACCTAAGAAATAAGCATGAAGTCCATCTTTGCTAGGGGAAATAGGAGAATTGAGATTTCCAGAGAGTAGGGAGAGAGATCGAGGATTGAGTTTGAAGACCCAAGTGAGAGATTGAAGGCAGGAACCATTAATTGAGACATTGAAGGTATAATCTCTCTATCCTTGCTCTCAAGTTTGACCTCGGGTTTGATGTTTTCTCTAATCAAAATTTTATGGATTAAAATAAGTTCTTATTTTAGTTTTTAGTTAATTTTATTAATTAGATCATTTATATAGCTTCAGTCTTCTTCTATACTGCTTGCATGTGCATTCAAGTGTTGTTTTGAAGCTTTCATTCCCCATAATGATAGAATTTGATCTACATCTCCATTGATGAATTAAATACTTAAAATTCATGGTAATGGTCACATGGTTCTTTAAATTTCAGCTATAGTATTAGTTCCTTTTATATGATCTCTATGGTCATAAATTGACTCACTTGTTGAGTCAATGGAAATATATTGAGTTGCAGTAACGTCAATCCAGAGGAAACCATATACTATTTTTGTCCCTTAGAAAGAGAGAAAGTAGAAAATTAAGTTGGGTTTAGATGCATGTTCATTTGTGTAATCAAATTTTTTAGTAAACATTATCTAAACTTGTAACTCAGTTATTCTTAATTGTTGAAAATGATTTAAAAATGCTACATGAATTAAGGCCAAGGAATTGGGTTATTGTCATTTCCTAATTCCATTCTAAAGTCTAGTTTTGGTATTGCTCACTTGACTCCCCACACCTAACATTATTAATTCAAAATCGCAGATGAAGTTGAAGACATGGGTTAGCATTCCTTGGATAATTAGAAGGTCATGTCATGTATGGTTTATCTTAGAATTATGTAATGAAAGTATA